CTTGGGCGCTTGATGCTTGATCGAGGATCACTCGGCGAGAGGGGGTGAATCGTGCCCCGCAGCTTGGAACGCCACTCGCGCGCGCTCGAGCGCTCTCCTGAAGCTCGACACGCAGATGGAGCTCGAGCGCGCGCCTCGAAATTTCACCCTCGCAGCGAAAACCACGGGTGCACTTGGCTCGGAGCGCTCGTGTGCCAGGCTATCAGGCGCCCACGAGCATGAACTTGTCGGCGGCCTCTGGCTCGGCCGTCGCGTCGGCCCGGCTCCTCTCGGGCTCGCGCTTGTTCATTGCGACCTGGTCGCGCCCGGCGTGGGTCTGGCAGACGTCTTGAAATTCACCTTGATGTGCTGGTCGAGAAGCGCTGTCTCGATCTCCTGCTGCTCGACGGCGCTCGAATAGTCCAGCTTGGAGTGCTTGTCCTGGTAGCTCCGCTCCTGGAGCTCGCGCGTCATGTCGGCTGTCCTCTGGGCGCTGCAGCACCACTTGACGACCGCTTGCTGCGCGGTGGCCTTGGCGGCCCCTTCACTGCCCGAGACCGCGCCGTTCTCGGGGCACCGCGCGACGCGTTGCTTGGCCTTGCTCGGCATCAACTCGAAGCGAAGAGCTGCTCGGCACGCACGCCGGAGGGCTCATCGCCCCACTTCTCGACGGGCTCCAACTTCTTGTTGATCGGCAGCGCTGGGTCGTGGAGGTGGAGGAGCTCGGCGAGGGCGTCGGGGAGGGCCTTGCCGACGCGCTCGGCGTGGGAGTCGCGGGCGAGGCCCTTGACGCTCTCGGCGCCGAGCTCGATGTCCTTCTTCTTGGCGAGCTCGTGCATCTTGGCCTTGAAGCCCAGCATGAGCCAGAAGAGGTCCTCGGGCGGCTCTCCGTGCTTCTCGAAGATGTCGTAGATGTGCTCGTCATTCTCGCAGTGGGCCCTGTAGAACGACGGCGCGGCCATCTCGATGCGCCTCCTGGCCTTCTGACTGAAGATGCGGCCGTGCTCGATGCTCTTGAGAGACCCGCCGTGGTAAACCATCTCGAAGACGGCTTGATGGGTGCTGCTTGACCATAAGACACCCTCGGCCTGGAGAAAGCAGGCCGCCATCCTCGCTGCATCCGTGCCTTGCGCGCTCGATTGGCGCTGGCGCATCTCGGCGATCGCTATCTTGTCGGCAATGAACGGGAGCTCGTCGAGGATTGCAGCGTTCTGCTTGGTCATGCACTCGAGGATCTCGTTCGAATTCGGGCTCGGGCTCTGGGTCGCCACCTGCTTGGAGGCCTCGACCGGGAGGCTCGCCGCCGCGGCGCGCTCGGGGGCCTGGGGCATGGCTGAGGCTCGCGACGCACTCAGGGGCAACGGCGCGGGGGGGATAGGCATTGAAAGGGCGGGGGGGGGGGGGGCGCCGACGTGGAAACCGCGATGGGGGGGGGGGGGGGGGGCGCCGACGTGGAATCCGCGATGCATCGCCGATGCATCGGCGATGCGCGCCCGATCGTGAACCCGCGGGTTCCTGAGCAGGCTCGGCACGCCCATCCCCCCCTGTCGCTGCCCCTGGAGCGAAGAGGCTCGGCGCCTCGAAGAGGCTCGACTGCTTGGAGTCTCGGAGACTCGGGGAATACTGGGCCTGGGCAGCTGCGGGGGCATAGGAGGAGGAAGAGGGGGAAGAGGAGGAGGAAGAGGAGGAGGAGGAAGAGGAGGAAGGGCAACGAACCGTGTGAGGGATGCGCTAAAAACGCAATTAACTCCAAGGCACTGCCTGCTCGAAAACAAAACGCATGTACAATTATCCCGGCAAAGCAACCTAACAGCGATGTGTATAAGCATATATGGAAACATTCCCCTTAAGATTCACCATGTCTCAGCATCGGCCTGCCTCGGCCTCATCCTCAGCCTCAGCCTCAGTCTCAGCCTCAGCCTGCCTCGGCCTGGGCCTGCCTCGGCCTCAGCCTCAGCCTGCCTCAGCCTCAGCCTCAGCCTGTCTCAACCTCAGTCTGCCTCAGTATCGGCCTCAGCCTCAGCCTCAGCCTCAGCCTCAGCCTGCCTCGGCCTCAGCCTCAGCCTCAGCCTGTCTCAGCCTCAGCCTCAGCCTCAGCCTGCCTCGGCTTCAGCCTCAGCCTGCCCCAGCCTCAGCGTCAGCCTCTCAGCCTCCGCCTCAGCCTGCCTCAGCCTCAATCTCGCCCTGCCTCAGCCTCAGCCTGCCTCAGCCTCAGCCTCAGCCTGCCTCGGCCTCAGCCTGCGTCAGCCTCAGCCTCAGCCTGCCTCAGCCTCAGCCTGCCTCAGCCTCAGCCTCAGCCTGCCTCAGCTTCAGCCACAGCCTCAGCCTGCCTCGGCTTGCCTCAGCCACAAGCTCAGCCTGCCTCGGCCTCAGCCTCAGCCTCGGCTTGCCTCAGCCTCAGCCTCTCGGCCTGCGTCAGCCTCAGCCTCAGCCTCAGCCTGCCTCAGCCTGTCCCCCCCTGCCTCAGCCTCTGCCTGCCTCAGCCTCAGACTCAGCCTGCCTCGGCCTCAGCCTGCGTTCGCCTCAGCCTCAGCCTACCTCAGCCTCAGCCTCAGCCTGCCTCGGTGTGCCTCAGCCTCAGCCTCAGCCTGCCTCGGCCTCACCCTGCCTCACCTCGGGCATTCAAAATATTGCACAGGACTTGTGCTATGGGAACACGAAGATCACGAAGTGGCCCACACTTGGCTCCAGGCAATCAAAATATAGTACAGGAATAATGTTCTGGGGACACGAAGAACACGATGTGGCTTACACTTGGCTCCGGGCATTCAAAATGTGGCCTGGGAATGGTGTTCCAGGAACACGAAGAACACGAAGTGGCCTACAATTGGCTCTGGGCAATCAAAATGTGGCCTGGGAGTGGTGTTCTGGGAACACGAAGAACACGAAGTGGCTTACAGTTGGCTCCGTGCATTCAAAATGTGGCCTGGGAGTGGTGTTCTGGAAACACGAAGAACACGAAGTGGCCTACAGCTGGCTCCGGGCATTGAACATGTGGCCTGGTGGTGGTGTTTTGGGAATGGATTCTCGAGGTTTCGTAAGAATTCATAAGGATTCCTAAGATTCCTGGGGCTGCCGGATTTGTCCGGTTTTGTCCGGATCACGCCCAGACCGCCCTGGGGCGTCAAGATGCTCTCTTTTGATACAACTAGAAACCTATCAGTCTTCGCTGTTAGGTAATCAAAATCCAATCGGTCCCCATGGCCCTGCCACACGCTCCTGACTCGGGAACGGCTGAAAAAATGAGAATGCCATGGCCCTGCCGCGCGTTCGTAACTTGGGCAAAGTGAACTGGTGAGAATCCCACAGCCCTGTCACACGCTCGTGGTTGAGAACGCTGGTGTGGTGAGACCACCATGGTCATGCTCAGCGTTTTTGTTGCTGTTGCTAGCCAACATGAGATGATAGCAACTTCGATTCGCAACTTCCCCTGTGGATTATAAAATTCGGCCTCCGCGCGTATCTCCACAATTTAATCTTGTTGCAGGACAAAGATAGAAAATAGAGGGGGGAAAGGGGGGGGTAGGCTTTATTATCGCCCGCGCTCGGTTATGCAATCAAATTGATGCCACAAGGAACAAATCCGGAATGACTCAAGGAGCAACTGCGACATGACACAAGGAAAGGCGAGACCCACCCGAACCAGAGCTGGTCCTTCCTTAGGCGGATTTACGAGAGTCGCTGCATGTCTCGTCGTGGACTGTGCTCTGATGGCACAAGGCCTGGGTAGAATAACGGAGGGCGGGCGCCTTATAAGAGGCCGAGAGCATGAGGAACGACAGGTGTACATACATACATACATACATACATACATACATGCATGCATGCATGCATACATGCATACATGCATACATGCATACATGCATACATGCATACATGCATACATGCATACATGCATACATGCATACATGCATACATGCATGCATACATGCATACATGCATACATGCATACATGCATACACATATACACACATACACACACGCATACACACATACACATAATCATATACACAGGAACACACATGCACACACACACATCGTACTTTTGCTTCCCGAGGCCCAGGCCCCTCTCCGCCCAGAAACGATCCCCGAGTTGACTGCACGTGTCTGGGACTTGAGGCCCAATTTCCGAGGCGGGGCAGGAGAAAGTGAGGAACGAGGGATGAAATGGGAGAAGGACTATCAGGAAGGAAGGATGATGTTGTGTAGCCCCATGGGACTCTCTGGAACCTCCGGGAAGGCCCCCCTGAAACGAAGTAAAAGCCTTCCATCTGCCATGGGTTCCAGGGCAGACCATGTCCAGAACGGAAAAAAAAAACACAATACGTTCAGAAGGGACGGGAGACAGCATCCAGACTGGAGGTCGAACCAGGTACAACGGGGCCCACATTTCTGAGACAATCATATATATATACACATCCCTGCATGTCTCTCTCTCTCTCTATCTCTCTCTCTCTCTCTATGTCGATCTGTGTCTCTCTCTGTCTCTCTCTCTCTCTCTACTTCTATCTCTCTCCCTCTCTCTCCACCAGCGCTGGCTCAGGTCGAGCACCCCGCTTGCGAGCAGGCGCCCTCCAATATTCATCCCTCCTCTCTCCCTCATGTCTCGTGTTTCCTTCCTCTTGCATCTCCCCTCCTGCAACTCCTTGTCACCATCCTGTTCTTTTTCCTATCACTGTCCTCCTCCTTCTGGTCCTCCGCATCCTCAGCCACCCCCTCCTCCACCGGCTCCTCCCCCGCCTGGTACGCAGTCCATGTCACGTGCAAACAACGCCAAGGTGTGCAACGCACCAATCATGGGTACTACGACTTGGTAGCGAAACTGTTTGAAAGTAACCGTCGTGCAAATCACTCACTGGATGCATGGCTGCAGGTTCGTGATAGGGACCGGTCAGCCCCAGCGACCTGTCGAAACCAGACTGGCCCCATGTCATGGCACTGCGTGGTGGTAAGATCAACGTGTAAAGCTGGGAGCTGAGAAACATCGCGCTGTCAAGAAGAAGAAGAAGAAGAACGCCCACCCTCTTCTGGTGAGGGTTTCCTAATTCACCGTTTCCTTGAGAAACCTTGCAGCAGAGGCACCATGAATATTCAGGAATTGCTACCAAGGTCATTGCACGCATGAGCACGCGACAAACGCAGACCGAAGCGAACGCACTTGAAGAAATTCTCCATTGCTCCATGAGCAAGTGATTGCACGTGTATCGACGGGTGTGCGAACACTGTGCGTCACAAGCGCTCACATGTGAGTCAGCTATACGGGAAGGAACTAGATCCAGGATGGTGGAACAACAGCCCCTTGAAATGCCAGATAGCCTCCACAAAGGTCAATTGAATCATTTCGGGTTTGAGAGGGTAGGCTGCGCAGAAACTGGGCAGGCTGGGAAAGTAGCCATGCGCACTCCAAGACAAAAACCTTGCAACACCTCTTACGAAGACGCAACTGGTCCTCACACCTCTCGCGCGCTGGAACATGCTTACCACATACACTTGCGCAAACTCAAAGCACGGCGCGGCACGGCTGAACAAGGCCTCAACGCGAACTGTGCTGCAAATGGCCTCGTCACTGCCTATTCAATGCCTAGCCGTGGTTGGCAACGGCCGAAACAAGGCCTGGACACGGTCTAATCATCGTCCGAGAACAACAATGCAAAATCTATCAAATGCCAAACCTGCCTACGCACGGCCTAATTCAAGCATGGACATTGTCTGAGCACCACGTTCTGACTGGGCACGCATGCGGACACGACCAAACACGACGGTAAAACGAAACTGCCGAACCCCCAGCAACCGTGTGGCGAGGTGCTCTTTCCGTGCTTCTGCACATTTAGATCACCCCGGACGTTGCGGACGCCCAGGCAGTGAGCAATATGACTTCCAACAAATCAAACGCCCCAACGAAGTAGGCCATCGAATTGGGGCAAACAGAATCATTGATCAAGTCAATGCTGGGCGTCAGATCAGCATGTCCTTCCATGACCTTCTGGATTACGAAAACCCGATCGGACAGCAAAGGGTAATGCCAACGTTGTCCATCTGGCTCGTAGGAGGAAAGACGTGAGGGATGATGGCGACGCGACGACAAAGCGGCGGATGACGAGGATGGTAGCGTGGATGGCAGGGAGGGCAGCGAGGGGAGCAGGAGGAATACAAGGAGGAGGACAAGCACAAGGACGAGACAAACACCAGGATGAGGAGGAAGAGATGGAGGACGAGCACGAGGAGGAACGAAGCGGAGGACGATGAAGAGGAAAAGAAGGAAGACGACGAAGATAACGCAAGGGCAAGGACGTCGAAAAAGGGGAGGCGTGACTTTTGAAGCTACCCTTGGGACTGCTGGGGCTGTCTTGGGCTATCTTGGGGCATCCTGTGGGCCTTTTGGGGGGCCTTTCGGGGCCCTCTTTGAGGCTCCTGGGATCTTCTTGGGCTGCCTGGGACACCTTGGGCTGTCTCGGGACTCTCTCGGGCCGTCTGGGGGCCTCCTGGGGCGCTGTCGAGAGCGTCCTCAGTGGCCCGCTGCTTCCACCGGGGAGCCTGGTTGGGGCTCTCTCGGGCCACGATGGGCCCCTCCAAAAACGAGTCCAAGGCGATGCTTGATGGGTCTGTTTTCCACCACCACCACCATAACTTGGAGGGCGGAAGGAGGTGGAGGAGGAGGACGACGAAGAGGAGGAGGAGAAGGTGGAGGAGGAGATGGAGGAGGAGGAGAACACCCTCCATCTCAAACTTATGGTGGTGGCGGTGGTGGTGGAAAACAGGCCCATCAATGTTGATCCGGAGCCCCCTCCGAAGCAATTGTTGTTGAGGGCGTCCCGAAGGAATCGGCCACGTTTGAGCAACCTGGCCAGACGAAAACGGGAAGCGTCGCTTTTGTTCTCGCAGCTTGTCGGGGAGCGTTCATTTGATAACGCCAGCGGAACTCGGGAACGAAACACAACTGCCAAGATAGCTGCTGGCCGTTTAGTTGTGTTGCTCCGCCACGATCTTGTAAACTGCGGTGCTCTTGAGGTCTGCCGTGCTCCTGTGGCCTGCAGTGTTATGAAACACTGCCGTGCTGCAGTGGTCTGCCGCGCTGCCGTGGTCTCCCTGCAGTCCTCCAAGCTGGTCTGCCAGGCTGCCCTGGTCTGCCGTGCTCGATGGCCCTGCTGCGGTTTTTGCCGTGCCGCTCCGCCGTGCTGCTGCGGTCGGCCGTGCTGGTCTGGCGTGCTCCCGTGTGTTCTGCCGTGCCGGTCTGGCGTGCTCTCGTGGGATCTGCCGTGCCGGTCTGGCGTGCTCTCGCGTGCTCGGCCGTGCTGGAAGTGAAAGTGAACGTCGGGGCCCTGAAGGCACCAAGGAGGGGCCCTCCAACACAGACAAAAAACGGGGCGGCCCGAAAGGGCCAGGGCAGGCGGAGGCGGGCCAGCCGGCAGGCTAGACTCAGGGCCCCCCCAGACGGCGAGCCCACCCCTCACGCACGGGCACCGAAACAACACGACATGTCCGAGCCACACACCGACGTGCTAGTGTGCAATGCTCACGTGGTCTGCTGCGCTGGGCTGCCGTGCTGTCGTGGTCGGAGAGCCGAGATGGCCCGGCACTGCCTCGAGACGCACCCGAGAGCCCCCCAAAAGCGGCCAATGGATTCCCCCTTAGGCTGTACTACGTGCATCGCGTTCTGCGCTCGTCGGTCGATCGAAGATCGGTCCGCTCGCAGTCGAGGGCCCAGAGCAGCCCACTGAAAGCCCCACGAGGGCCCCTACTCGTCCCAGGACGGCCCACGAAAGCTCCCAAGCTGGCCCAAGAGAACCTCCCGGGAGACCCACGACTGCCCAAGAGGGCCCCTGGACAGCCCAAGAATGCCCCAAGACGACCCCACGACGGCCTCAAGAGACCCTCCAGACGGCCAAGCAAGCTCCAAGACGGCTCAGTGGGGCCCCGAGGTGACCCCAAGACAGCCCAAGAAGGCCACAAGGGACCCCAAGACTGCCCCCGACGAGCCCGAGACAGCCCCAAGACAGCCCAAATAGTCCTTATGCGAGCTCCTCAAGGACATGCAGACAAGAGATGCCACATGCGACGGCCCTCTGGGCGGTGATGGAAGCGTCGCCACGCAGAGTCCCTCGCTGGCCTGGCGGCCGACTCGCCGCAAGCGCTCGGATTGCAGAAACAACACTTGGTGCGAAGGGAGCCTGGTACCGAGAAATGGCATCTCGAAATACATCATCATCAGGGCGACCGTCGTACCTGTTCTGCAAGCCCAACGTGCCTCATTTCCAGAGCAGCAGTTCGGAATGAGAGCATGCATGATCGAGGGACGAAGCGAAGGCACGCCACGACAGGAGGGACACCCTCGTCCCCCAGGGACAGTGGAGGACAGTAAGCGGGAGGCGAGAGAACAATCAAGCAGAGAGGGAAGGCAGAACAGAGAAGGAGGAGGAGGAGGAGGAGGAGGAGGAGGAGGATGAGGAGGAGGGGGAGGGGGAGGAGGAGGAGGAGGAGGAGGAGGAGGAGGGGAGGAGGAGGAGGAGGAGGAGGAGGAGGAGGAGGAGGAGGAGGAGGAGGAGGAGGAGAGGTGCAAACGACGGGTCACCAACTGGCGGACTCCTACCATAGGGGGGCTCGCCACGGCTGGACGCAGCTCGAACAAACGGCCAGGATGGACCCTGGGAAGGATCGGTCCACGGGCGATGTTGAACCGCTCGGTCACCCCCCCTCCTCCTCGAGGATGCTCGAGGCCAGAACCCACACTGCTTTGTAAACCCATCGTGTTGCCATGACAGCCACGCTGAATACTTAAAGAGCGAAAGAGCTTTCCAGGCCACAGCGAGCTTTGGTCACGAACGCAGTCCTGGGCCCAACTCTGGGGAACGGCGGGTAAACCCGAGCCCCTCCTCAACAGGCGAGAAGAGTTAGAGACAGAGAGAGCGCGACATATGCTTATGCAGCAGGGAGAGAGAGAGAGAGAGAGACAGAGAAAGCGAAACAAACAATCAAGCAACAATCACAACCTATATATATAGAGAGAGAGAGTCATGTGCGGTGGCGCATAGGCACCACCAGGTGATGCACCTGGACTTGAAGAGAGCGAGGGAGGTAGAGATAGAGAGAGAGCGATTTGGCGTGATTGGTTAGCTGGTCTGGTTTGGTTGGTAAGGTCTGGTCTGGTCTGGTTGGTCGAGTAGATCATCTGGTTGGTCTGGTCTGGTTGGTATGGTCTGGCTGGTTTGACTTGGTCGGATGGTAGATTGGCTACTGAAGCTGGTCTGCCTACAAAAGTGGTACTTCAGCGTCTTGACTCTGGCCTCGGCTGTCCCATGGCCCATGGCGTCGCTCTTCGCATCGAATTCACGACGACACTACGTCGCATGCACGCCGAATGCACGCCGAATCCGCGTCGACCCGCGTCGGACACAAGACCACCGTTTACAGGTATGCAGCGAAAACTATATGTACCTTCACATCCCGCATCCTGTCTCCCCTACCTCCTGCCAGCTTCTGCCCCTCCCAGCTCACGCTTCCTCAGAACCAGAAGCTCGCCGTCGAGATTTTTGGCACAACGTTGGCCCCAGAGGTCTAAACCCCTTTCTCGGTACCGGGTTTTGATCCCGGATCGTTGTTCGACCGCCCAAGGGCCATGTGAGCGCCCCTGGAGGCAGAAGTTTGTAAAGACTGAATATTCCCAGACATCCTGCGATGTGATTTCAATTCCGACCTCCTCTCCAGAAGAATTTTTTCATCCAAGGTCGATATTTCATTGTCCCGGGTCCCGGTCACGGGAGACCGAAATCAAGGAATGACGCCGGGACTGAATAGATCATGTCGTCAGAGACCTGGGTTTCTTCACGAAGGTGGTCTGCGTCCCCGGCTCCTCCTGGGCTCCCCCCAAGACGACGCGCCCACAAAACGCGGAGGGCACCGTCCGAGCGCCTGCCGGAGGACCGTGCGTTCGCACCAGTCGGCTGCCTCCGGTGCCCGCTCTCCCACTGCAGGACCAATCAACATCGAATCTGAAATCGGATCGAATATGGATGTGCCTCGGATCGGGCTGCGTCGGCACGGGGTCGAAGTCCAACCCGATCGGCTGCGCCACGATGCTCAACAACGACATCTAAACATCGGGCCGTAATTATCGGATCGTCGGCACATCGGAATCGAATTGGATCGGGCAGGCCGGAATCGATGTCGAACGGGATCGGTCGGATCGATGAAAGAGACTGCACGGTGGAGACGAGCCCACAGCCTCCCGGCGTGGTCGTCGAAGATCGAGGTTCGGGGCTCGAAGTTTCTGGCGGCTGTTGGAATTTTGCGAGGCTTCTCCGGCTGGATCCGCCTCGACATTCTGATGACAACGCATTCCAGGACAAGTCCAGGGTTATGTTGCTCCCATCGTACTTAAGGACCACACCCCAGAAATAATTTCCAGCACCCGGAAACGTGTCGAAAGAGTGTCGAAACAGTGTCGGACGAGTGTCTCCCAGGACCCGACACGCGAGAACCCTTGAGTTTTTGGGTACTTTGCTGGTGCTCGAAATTCTTTCTGTTGGTCCAAGGTAGTGCTCGGCCTCCGGGGGAGGGCCTTATAGAGGGCCCCCTGGGACCGTCAAACTACTACCCAGGACGAAGCACTAGTCCCAGCAAAGGGGTCCGGGGTCACGCTGTCAAGAAAAAAACACGTCGGGGGTCTGGGAGGACGTGTTCAGAATCATCATCGGGATCTATGTACCCACGCCGTGGACTTTTCCAGACCGGCAGCCGTCTGGAAACGCTACCCCTCGCGGAGCTCTGGAAGCGGATGCCTCCTGGCCCCAGGGGGGCGGGAGGCCACGCAGCCATATCCAGCGCTCTGCGAGATCCTTGGGGGAGCCGTCTCCAAACTTGTGGGCATGGCCCGTTCCAGGAACCATGAATTCCAAAACACGAACGAACGCCGAAAAGTAGGTTCCAACACCCCCGATAAGCAAGCGAGATTATGTAAGTTAAATGATTTGTGTGATGACGCTACATGTGCGTGGTGCAACGTACGTGGCGTAACATTCCTAGTATGACCGTCCGCACTGCAAAGCGCATGCTCGATCCACGTAGAGCACCGCCCATAAGGCATTAACAAGAAATCGCAACCATGAAGGCATCGTGGAGCGCCAGCCATGGAACACCACCAATGAAGTACACCGACCCTGTCGGCGTGTGTGAGACGTTTTTTCCGTTTGAGTCGTCGTCGTCCTCGTCATGAGCCCAGCCGCCGCCGACCGTGACACTTGCGCCAAGGTCAAGGGCTACGCCTTCCCGAAGAGGCTGGGCGTCCATGACGGGGGGGTGAGCTGTATTTTGGGGAGGAGGAGGGGGAGGAGGAGGAGGAGGAGGAGGAGGAGGAGGAGGAGGAGGAGGAGGAGCCGAGAGTTGCTACAATGTCTCGGGCCAAACTCATCCGACCACCTCTCCTGCGGCATCTGTGAGCCCAGTCGACAGGACGCTTGAAACGAAACGCGCTGGACCACATCTCGCTCAGCATCCCGGACGCCAAGGACACCGCCGCAGGCACAGCTCCGATGGCTCCAGGACACGACCCCACCACTCTTGAGGCGAGCCGCACGCACCGTTGAACGCAGCGGTTCCTAATAGCGGGCCGTTACGAACGACGGACACGCCCATCAAAACGAGCGGTGAAGCAAAAGACTCTGAACACCGAGGCTCGCAAGAGCTCACAGTGACGTGAACAGACAAGCTCTTGGCGCCAACGCTCCCGAGGGCAAGCGGTGCCATGGGCCCTCTCGGACAAGTGCCCGAAGCATCACCGTCGATCCCGGTTCATGTAAGCTTTCGTTGATTACTGGACGTTCTGTCGCCACGCAGTGCTTTCCAGCAGCTGCGTCTCGCCGCAAGCGTTCCCAGGGTGCGTCGTTTGCCCCGTACGGTCGCCTGGGGCCGGAATTATGGCCCGACGATCATTCCGAGGAGGAGAAGTGTGTTCGACCTGCATCTGTCCTCCCGACATCTCACGGGCAGCTGCGTCTTGCCGAGGGGCCAGACGTTTCATTAACGTCCTTAGGGGAACTAAACCGCCATGACTTTGATTCCCCTCGTGGCATTACGCTGACCCCTCTCAATATGCCTCTCGATATGTTCACCTGGAAACCTCATTATCTTGACCGCGACCCCGCTCACAATTACCACCCTCACCCCCGCATGGCATGATCATCACCGTGACCCCCCTTTCCCACATTGCTGTCAGCCCCTTTGAATCCCGCATGAGTCGCCGTCATCGTCGTCGTTGTCGTCGTTGTCTTCGTCGTCGTCGTCGCAGTTGCCACTCTCCCCACTCTCCCCCTTTCCCTGGGCAGTCCTCCTCTAGGTGTCCTGGGGGTCCCGGGGGCGGTCCCGCTGGGTCCTGGAGGTCGATCCCCCCCCCGTGGGGGGATGATTCTCCGTGTGACAAAAAGAGATCAAGCTCCCCCCCTCTTCCGCTCCCCCCCCGTGTACCCCCTGTGGACAGGGGGGGACAAGGGTGGCCACACCTGTGGACAAGGGGAAATGGGGCTTGCCCCCCATTGTGGACAAGGGGAACTCAAACCCCCCCATCGCCCCCCCAGTCTCCCGTGGACAAGGGGTACAAGGGGGCGGTCCTCTTGTGGACAGTGGGAACTCACGACCCCTCCCCCCGTCCACCCCCCTGTGGACATTGGGACCACCTCCCCTTCTCCCGGACAACCCCCCCAGGAGGCACCCTCATCACTTTCATTTGCTGTGGCGGGGTGTTGCGTATGTGAGCGTTTTCTTATTCGGCGTTTCGACATTGGGCGCAGGGGGGGGGAGGGGGGGATCTGGCTCTGGACCTCTGCTTGCTACGGCTGTTTGCAACAGTGCATCTCATGGGGGAGGGACTCCACCTGCCTGAAACAGGCGCCAGAAACAGCAAAGATCTACTCCATTGGGGAGGGAGAGGGGGGGGGATGCGAGGGCCCACGCCGATCGGCAAAACACTGAATTAAGAAATGGCCACGATTGTCCTCTATGCCTCCAAGAAACCTCAGATCCGCTCCGAGGCGGCTGCAAGTGGCCACGGTGTTTCCCAAGAGATCCCCCAAGAGGAACTCTAACAGAGCCTAAGGAGGCTTCCAAGGGAGCCCCAAGAAGGGTTCCAGAGCGTCAGCGTCGTCGCCGCCGCCGCCGTTGTCGTCGTCGTCTCCCTTCGGAGTCGGCTCATCCACCCATGACTACGGCTGTCATTTGCTCTTCGTGGAAGCACACTGAGATGCACAACTGTTTCCATGATGGACGATGCTATCTTTCCTTCAACCTCATCCAATGGCCTATTACACCCAGCCTATTCAAAACACATTCTACGCCCAACAGCACTTCTCACCACTCATTCGAAATTGTGTTGAACACTCCTGGCGGAAGAACAAGCGCGTGACGCTTTAGACTGTGTGCTGATACTGTTATGAGAGCATCTGGCTGCTGGAGCAAAGTCGCAGCGCGCCCGTCTTGATGTGGAGGTGCCCCCTTCTCGAGGAGGGAGGGAGGGAAGGAGGGAGGGAAGAGGGAGGACACCTCTCGAGGGAGGAGGGAGGGAGGGAGGGAGGAGGGAGGGAGGAAGGGGGTGCCCCCTTCTCGAGGAGGGAGGGAGGGAGGGAAGGAGGGAGGGAGGGAGAAGGCACACCTCTTGAATGGGGTCCGAGCAGATGCGGCCGGAAGATCGCGTCGTCGCACCGCCGAACCATCGCCGATAGATCGGCAATGTATCGGCGACGTCGGCGATGCATCGCCGACGTCGGCATGCAGCGAATCGGGCCCCACATCGAGCCGCAGCGCGCCGATGCATCGGCAACGCGCTGCGAGCATCCGACCTCATCTACTCGGACACGACTTGGGAGGCCTGGAGAAGGTGACCGTTTTTTTATGCGGCGTTTCGACATTGTGCGGAAGGGGGGGGGAGGGGGGGGTCTGGCTCCGGACTTCTGCTTAGTGCGACTGTTTGCAACAGTGCGTCCCACGGGTGAGACTCCACCTGAACGAAACAGGCGCCAAAAAACAGCCAAGATCTACTCCAGGGGGAGCGGCGGAATGGGGGGGGTATGCGAGGGCCCGCGCCGATTGGCAAAACAGTGGATGAGAAAACGATCACAAGAGGATGGAATCAGGACAGGACGCCAGAGTTCGCCCCAGAAGATACTACGAAGTAAAAAGCCGACCTCTACACACCAACTTCGCACAGGAAAACAGGTCCTGGTGTGTACGGGATCCTTGTGTATACATTTTTCGTTGTTTCCCCGGGCGAACGGGGGAAAAAAGTATACGCCACCCGCGAGGGCGCCTCCCAGGAGCGGCAGCCCGACACGTCCTGCGGCGCCCGCGTCGCGCGCGGAAAGGGGGGGGGGGCAACGGCAACGCCCCGCGCGGGGCTGAAGGGCAACGTTGGGAGGGACTCTGAACCTTCTCCTCCTCCTTCTTCTCCTCCTCCTCCTCCTCCTCCTGAGCCTCCTCCTCTTCCTCCTCCTCCTCCTCCTCCTCCTCCTCCTCCTTAGTATCATCATCATCATCATCATCATCATCATCATCATCATCATCATCATCATCATCATCATCATCATCATCATCAGCAGCAGCAGCATCATCACATCCTCCTCCTCCTCCTCATCATCAGCATCATCATCAGCATCATCATCATCACCTCCCATCAGCATCATCATCATCATCATCATCATCATCATCATCAGCATCATCAGCAGCATCGTCATCATCCTCCTCCTCGATCTCTCTCGGCCTTGGGGTCACGCTGCTCCTCCTCATCCTCCTCGGTGTTTCGACGATGCGGACTTGTCTGTTAACTGGGAACTGGATCACTCGGCCCCCCCCCACGACCTGCGGGGGGGGAGGGCGAGCAAAAACCAAGAGGCAAACAGAGAGAGAGAGAGAGAGAGAGAGAAGAATGAAAGGCGGATGGCCAACACGATCATGCACCTCGGGAGAGGGGTGGC